AGACTTATATACAACTTCACAGTGCTTTCCAGCCCCCTCTACGCGGTTTACAGAGTCAGCCTTTTGCCCCCAACAATCTGGGTCCTCATTTTAATGACCTCAGAAGGACGGAAGGCTGAGTCAACCTTGAGCCTGGTGAGATTCAAACTGCCAAACTGCTGGCATCTGGCAGTCAGCAGAAGTAGCCTGCAGTACTGCACTCTAACCACTGCGCCACCATGGCTCCTGTTAGATGAAATAGACTCACTCAATGACCATGGAGTTTACTTAATGTGACGTTTGAGTAATGATCGCTGCGGAAAAGGTCTAAGGGGAGGAAGACTTGCCCAAAGTGTGAAGCTACTGAAAGAAAAGAGGAGCATATAAAACTAGAATTTGGCTCGTGTTCTGATCCCCATGTTTGCTTCTGTTGTGTGCAGCAACTGACCAATCACATCCGCGAAACACTCCCAGGGCTGAGGAACAAGCTCCAGTGTCAGCTGCTATCTATTGAGAAAGAAGTAGAAGAATACAAGAATTTCCGTCCGGATGATCCAGCCCGCAAAACCAAAGCTTTGCTCCAGTAAGTCCTACGTCGTCTTGATATGTGGGAAGACGGGACAAAGTAGGAACTCTGTAGGCAAAACAGTCAAGGTGTCAGGATTCCAGCAATCACTCTAATTAAATCATGATTCTCGAGCCAAACTTCAAAAACTTCAAAGGATTCTGTTACGATATGTACAGAATAACCCTTGAGTAATAAGGATATGCACATGGAAACATTTATGAGAACAGATTAGAGGCAACCTACTGGCACAGCCCTGTATGAAGCCAACTCTGGCATACGTAATTTACAGTCCACTGTGACCCTGTTTCCTCCCTCTCGCTGGGTGTGTCATAAATCAGATTCTCCAATTGAGCCTGTTCACAGGCTGGGTGTGTCATCAATCATATTCTCCAATTAAATATATTTGTCGGCAAAAGCTCTGGTAGTTTAGTTACAATCTTTTAAAGATAAGAGTTGGAATGTACTTTTGCTTTCAATTGCTCTTCTAGATTTCCTTCCCTCCCTCTTTTTTTTTAATGGCAACTACTAAAACAGGCATAGGAATGTTTTATGAGTTGACACAAGGATGTTCCATTGAAGTTCCAGCAGCTCAGACTATGGATTATGAACAGTAGGTCCTTCAATGTTGGTCCAATGTTTGGTCACCACACTATCAAAAAGATGTTGAGACTCTAGCAAGGGTGCAGAGAAGAGCAATCAAGAGGATGAGGGTTCTGGAGGCTCAAACATAGGATGAATGGTTGCAGGAACTGGGCCTGGCTAGTCTGGGGAAGAGAAGGACCAGGGGAGACAGGATAGCAGTCTTCCAGTATTTTAGGGGCTGCCACAGAGAGGAGGAAGGGGTCAAGCTATTTTCCAAATCCCCCGAAGGCCAGACAAGGAATAATGGATGGAAACTGACCAAGGAGAGATTCAACCTGGAAATAAGGATAAATTTTCTGACAGTGAAAGCAATCAATCCATGGAACAGACGTTGCCTTCAGAAGTTGTGGGAGCTTCATCACTTGAGACTTTCAAGAAAAGACTGAACAACAATATGTCAGAAATGGTGTAGGGTTTCCTGCTTGGGTGGAGAGTTGGACTAGATGACCTATAAGGTCCCTTCCAACTCTGTTCATCTGTTAAGGTTCTTCAATGTTCTTGGAAATCAAGTGGAAGCTAGAGTAGATGTTTCCACCATAACCATATTTCTCTCTCTCTTTCCTCCAGGATGGTCCAGCAATTTTCTGTGGACTTTGAGAAACGCATCGAAGGTTCTGGAGATCAGATCGATACCTATGAACTCTCCGGTGGTGCTCGGATCAATCGTATCTTTCATGAACGGTTCCCATTTGAGCTTGTGAAGGTAACACTAAGCCTCCGTTGACTGTTATCCTCATATCTCCCAGGTTGTCTCTTTAGGTCAGCCTTAAGACCTAAAATATAAACTTAGACCTGTAAGTCTGGAACTTCTAGGTTCTAACTCAAGACAGCGCTAGAAAACTATTCAGTTTTAATCATCAATAACATTTAAATATGAAGTATTCCAGTGTTTGAGGGGGTGCCAGAAAGAAGAAGGTGTGTGTGTGTGTGTGTGTGTGTGTGTGTGTGTGAAATTATTCTCCAAAGCACCAGAGGGCAGGAAAAGAAACAATGGGTGGAAACTAACCAAGGAAGAGAAACAACCTGGAATTAAGGAGAAACTTCCTAACAGTGAGGAAAATTAACCAGTGGAACTACTTGCCACCAGAAATGGTGGGTGCTTCATCACTGGAGGTTTTTAAGAGGAGATTGGACAGCCACTTGTCTGAAGTAGTATAGGTTCTCCTGCTTGAGCAGGGGGCTGGACTAGAAGACCTCCGTGGTCCCTTCCAGCTCTATTTTGTTCTGTTCTGTTCTATTATGTTCTACCCTATTCTGTGGTTTCTTCCCCAAACCCCCAAAACTTTAACAGACTGTCTACTATTGACCTCACCCCTTTCCTAAGAGGTCTGTAGGGGCCGTGCATAAGCGCACTAACGTGCCTATCGTCCCTGTCCTATTGTTTCTTTTATTTTTTTAAATTTTTCTTATATGTATCCATTTTGCATTTGGCATCAAAAATTTTTTTGATGCCAAATGCAAAAACGGATGTCAGGACGAGATTCAGGGTGAAATTCCATTCTTTAAAAATGGTATAGCTTGCTGTTTGTAAAAGTCACGTATTTTTGGTGTCCCGGGATGAAAACGTGTGATGCCGTGGTAACAAAAAACTGGTGCATCAGGATGCCGGGACGAGATTCAGGGTTCGGGACAGAAATTCGGGAGTGCAATTTTTTTTTATCCCAAATTCAAAAATAGATGCCAAAATTGACATAAATAAATAAATAAATAAATAATTAAAATAAATAAATTTGTCCAATATAAAGAAAGATAGTGCTGGGACAGCCATGCAGTTATGTTCTAGTTGTCAAGCTGGCTTCTCCATCATCCCCATAGTGCTTTTCAATAAGTACATACCTTTGTTACAGTAGAATTTATTGTACACTATCCAGCATCATGTATTATGAGATGGATGGCTACATAAATATGATAAACAAAAATAAATAAATAACCATCTCCCAGGGTGATTAGAGAGGAACATCTGGAAGATGAATGGTAGGACAAGGGTGCTCCTGTAGGACTACCCAATTTAAAAAAATTAGGTGATGTTTCTAGGAATGTCCGAATGTCCCATCACCGCTCCAGATTAAAGAAGGTTAAATCTACCTCTTTCTTTGTGGATCCCTTGAGTCCATAAAGCAATTTGGGGGGTTCTTCTCTTGGGGTTCCTCATCCGTGTCTCTCTTTCCTGGTGCAGATGGAATTTGACGAGAAAGAACTCCGAAGAGAGATCAGCTACGCGATTAAGAACATCCACGGTATCAGGTACGTATTGATGGTCTCCTAACTTCTTCTGAACATAACTCTAGAATTCTCACGCCAGAAGATGTCAGAGTTAGGGTAGGTTGGCTCAAAATACCTGCCCAGACCACTCACTTTGCAATAGTTTGGTAGGTTCTGCTATTAACTTATTCGTGGCCACACGTTCTTCCTCCTGAGATAAAGTCTCATCTCTATGTTGGGAAGATATGTTGTCCTGAAGAGGACAAGGAGGTGGTGAAATTAGGGTCACTTACTCATGGATAATTTCAGGTTACTTTTCTGAATAGAGGCCGAAGCTCAGCTTCATAATCCAATAGAGATGGAATATTGTCTGAAGCTTCTCCGATACTTTCATGAGTTAGACTCCCCACTGTCCATAGACTGGAGAGCTGAGCCAACACAGTTGTTAATCTAGATGTCCCTCAAGGATGCGATGTTTTATCATTTGGTAGAATTTGATCTTGGAGCCCAACGAACCAGGTTGGCCCCATCCAAACTAGGGTTCAAAAGGAGACACAACTTTTGGATTCTACTCTTCTCAGACGAGCAACCAGGTTAAATGAATGTTGAAATGTGCTTTAATATAATATATGATGTGCAGGAGACATGGTTGAGCCCGGTGGTTACAGAAGCTTACCAGAAGTGGTACAGCATGAGATGTATGATGCTTAATCATTTAATTTTAAATTTCTTCATATGCCAGTATAGGTAGACCTGAGATGGTGTGGGCTTTAGGAATGAAATTGCCCAAAATAGATGTTGATGGAAAATAGCTGCCTGATTTGGCCATCCCTATCTAAGGAGCTTTGCCATCAAAATTGGATTCTGTACACAAATGCCCCTTTTATCCTGTTTCCCCAGCTGCAGCTAATGAAGGGAATCGGGGCCTTTTTCTCCCCCATAACCCACGTTGCTCCCTTCTCCATTCCTCCCTGCATGCTCTAGGATGAAGAGAGGGTGGGCCTGGGTCTTCCTCTGAATGCCCAGCCGGACTGTGCCCTTCCCCAGTTTCTTCCACAGCCACCAGAGCCACCCTCCCACTCCCTGTCAGCTGTTCCACCTCTCCCTCGGAATCAAACTCCAACATGGGCATGACACAGGGCTTGTCCTTCTGGGCTTCACACTTCCCTCCTCAAAGGGCGGCTGGCTTTCTGTGTAATAGGGCAACCCCTTTGGTCCTTTTATGCAATGCGATGACGTTTTCCTCGCCCTACTATCTCCTTCTGCTCTTGTCCTCCTCCTCCACCACCACCACCAACCCTCACTCCGTGTGTAGAACTGGTCTCTTCACGCCTGACATGGCTTTTGAGACCATCGTGAAGAAGCAAGTCAAGAAGATTAAAGAGCCTTGCGTGAAATGCGTGGACATGGTCATTTCGGAGTTAATCAATACGGTTAGACAGTGCACCAAGAAGGTAAACCTGGGAAGGCGGGGCATGAGACCCCAACATGCTCGTGACCCCACCTCTCCCCAGCTGAAGCACAGCATTTCTGATCTGGGGGGCTGACCCCGCCTGGTGCAAACGTCTTGTGGTTTCCTTCTGGGTTGCCCTTCTTCACAGCATGCCTAGACTTGAGTGAACGCTGCGTGGTGTTTCCTTGCCCATCAGAAAACCATGGCAAAGCTTAAAAGCTTGAAATGTTTCTCCAGTCGAAGTTTTGGGGTTGGAATGTTTCTGGGATTCTGCAAGGTCGGACGGAGATGTGGAGTAATTGCTTTCTGTCCACTTTAGAGTTGTTGTTTTTTGGTTCCCCAAAAGAAAAGAAAAAAAATGGCCATTTTCTCTCTTGGCCGGCCAATGTTTCCATTTAATGCCCAGGAGTCCTCCAGTTTGGAGAAACCAAATTTATAAGGCAAAAACGGAGGTAGGGTTTTAAGA